AATATAAATTTTAATTATTTTATTAAAATCGTTTAAAGTGCACAAGTTTTGAACGTATTTGACTATAAACGTCAGATATAATATTCAAAAAATTATAATGATTATTTGGAATAGAACCAGTTTCAGGGAATGAGCAAATTTCGAAATTCCAGACTTTTTTTACTTTTCCCGGTTTCAATGACTAATTTCAATTTCCCTAACTTTTCCCGGTTTTCCAGTCTGTGGGAACCCTGCAATTATACATTGTAACAAAATTAAAAAAAATAACGATGTCTTAATTATCATGGAATGATCTAAGCAAACGTTTTAAAAGCTACTCTCTGCAGGTTTGTACAGGATCGTACCTGTTCGCCGTCTAGAAGAAAAGAGAGAGAAGGAGAAAGAGAGAGCGCATTCCTGTTTTACATGCACATGCTCCTTCATTCACGACCTGACTCTCCCCCCTTTCCACTTCCCGACCGTGTTCTTCTCTCTCAGTTATCATGTTTCCCCCGGTTACCTTTTCTCAAAACAAAAGTCTATTCTTACGGGGGCGGATTAGTGTCTAAAGACCGGTTTTGTCAACATCTTGTAGCCTTAATCAACTGACCTCTTTCATCTTCTTCTATTTCTTATCCTATAGGATAAGATCTTAAACTAACCATATCCAATTTATCAACGTTAATCTAACACCGCGTAATATAAATCTAGATCTATTAAATTACAATTTACGAAACAGGTCGCTCACACACATTTCTTTTTGTACAGGACGCGCGCGTCCTGTCACCTTCGTTATTGATTGAAGCCATTCATCGTTTCGAGTTCCCACACTCTTTTTAGGAGAGATTTAACAGGAAGTTACGGGGGATAATGACTGCGGGTATAGACCGAGAAACTGGGAAATTACATTCGCATGATCGCATCATGCACCATCCTTCGCGGAGCCAGTCTCCCGGTCGCTCCAACGGCTCTTCTGGCTCGCGACCGATTCTTCCCCTTCTCCTCCATCTTCTCCTTCGCCGCCTCTTCCTCTTCCTCCTCCACCATCGGTATAACCACCACTACTACTACCGTCCTCGTCGTCCCCATCGACACCATGATGGGGTCCAGAGGAGTTGCAGAACTAGTCACAGCCTGCGTGTCAGTCCATCAGTAAACTCGGTCTTGTGCGTTACCGAGCCGAGAGGAGTACTATCGTTTATACTTAAACAGATTCACATTTGGCAAGTTTCTTGAGGTTTACTTCAAGTCGAGTCGGATTGTATTGTATACGGGCAGGCAACTTCCTGTCGAGTGTCACGACCGCGACACTCGAAACGGCCTGAGTCACGGGATTTCTCGGGAAACGATCGCGAATAAAAAGCGCGAATTACTCGGGACCGTGGGAACGCGATTTAAATATAGGAAACAGGGACAAGCCATGTCCCTCTTCCGCGAGTCGCGAAACTGAATGGTTCCAGTGGTGAACCCGAGTCATCTCGGTTGCGCGAGTGACGTTAGTGCTTTTAACATTGAAGATGGTGCGCGGTCTGTCGCAGTGGACCAAGACCCTGAGCTTCCCGGCGAGGGTGTCACCTCAGAGACCCGCCAAGGAGTCCAAGGTTTTCCACGTAAGCCCCAGTGCTAGCCCCACGTCACCGCCCAGCCCGATCAACGACACCATGGACAAAGCGCCTATAATTACCGATGAGGTTTGACACATTTCTTTTTATTTTTTATTTATTTATTTATTTTTTGCCTTATTTTTCCTTCTTTTTTTAGCTTTTCGTTAATCACTCGTAAAGTGCTATTAACAGGACAATAACAATGCTTTCTTAGTCCGAAATAGCTAACATATTTCTAGACAACTGCTTGATTATAATAAAAACGACACATTTATAATAATTTGTGTGAATATTGTTTGATAATCACAAATTTGTCTTCGTTTCGTTTGAATTTTATTCTTTCTGTTATGGTCATTTTCGTAATGTAATTTCCATGATAAACTACGCAGAAAAAGGAAAAGAGAGATCCGTTAGAGATTAAATTGCGGTTAAATCAACGGAAACGTTGGTTTCCTATATATATATCAACGTCGTTTCCGGCGAAGACATCGGGAATATATAAGTTTACGGTGATCACGTCGAGACCGTTGACTCCAAGATGCGTTGCAAGAATCCCGCGTCAGGAGAACGGTTCTTCTTGATAGTCGCGTTTCGGTATTGTCGCCAGATGCTGCGCCAACGACGACGACGACGGGGATTTTTCTTCGCGCCCCTATATGATTCGTAGAATTTCGTGCATGAGCACCCGGTGCTATCTCACTGGAATAAAATGTTAGCTGTAAGGCACGACCGGCGGGCAGCGGAAGCGTGGGAACCAAGCGTAACAGATGGCCTCGACCGCTTCCGAAGTCGTTCGACCTCTCCTCCCGTTGCTTCTTCTCGCTCGATCCGATGAACGGCGGTGACGCGAAGTATTCGGTTAAAAGAACCCGAGTGTATCTCATAATTGACTTACTCACCGCAATTTCCGGATCCCGGATTCTGAAAAGAATATATATATTGGAGTTAACTGATGTTATTGGAGTTAACTGATGTTAGCAAATACAGCACCCTAACAAAGTGAGTGAGAAATTCTCTAAGACCTTAGAATTTGAGCTTCAACTTCGAACTTTTGTAAAAAATTAATAAATAATTAAAAGTATTAATTTCGAGGCACCAATTTTTTCTCTCATTTTTGTCTAAAAAAATTTCTCTGAAACCTTGAAGTTCAAACTTGATCTTCAAACTCTTGTTGGTGTAAAAAATTAATGAATAATTAAAAGTGTTAATTTCAAGGCAAATACCTTTCCTCTCATCTTCATCTAAAAAAATTTCTCAGAGTTTGAACTCCAAACTGTTGGTGTTCGCGTAAAAATTAACAATATTTTTAATAATTGATTTTTAATCGTCTGAATCGTTTCTTTATTTTGTTAATTTTAACGATATTAATTTCAATGCCATAATCTTTTCTCTAATTTTGTATTTAAAAAATTGAAAAATAAAAAAAATGAAAAAAGATTATTTATTATCGATTCTTCAGTTAAATACTGAGTCTAACAAGTCAAATTCAAAGTTATATTTTCTATGACTATATAGATGAATATCAAATTTCAAATTATATCTGCGGATCTTCACCGGAAAAAATCTTATTCGGAATGATTTCTGAGTTCTAAATACAGTACACTGTTCTTTCTCTTCTATTATGTTGAAATGTATGAGCAGTAAGATACAATCGTTGTATAACGCAGATTAGCGAATTTAATAAGGCTTTAGAAAGTTGGAAGATGCATCTTTTCGCGTTCTAGGGAGAAGTTTCTTAGACCCCTGATATGCTTGATGGTGTACCGGTCTTCACTCTTCGTTCAGCTACGAACGTGCGTTTCAAATCCAAGAGAGCGCGCGCACATCCGCAATCGTCGCGACCTTTTGTGGTTCCCTCGTGTCATCCTCCGCTGCTCAGGAATGCGAGAATGTGAGATAACGCCGAACGACGACGGTTACGTTTAGTCCAACGAGCAGTATAATTACGGTGTGTGTTATATTAAAAGCTCTCGGCTATTCTCTCTGTCTCTCGTCCCCGCTATTCCCACGGCGACGACAACGACGACGACAACGATGGCGACGACGACGACGACGGTGGCATTCTCCGGTTGGTCTACGCCGGAAGTGGCGCGGCTTTGCGTTCTCCTCCTCTTCCTCGCGCATTGTTCCTCGCCGCGCATTCCACGACGATGAACTCCGCCGTTCGAGTGAACGAGAACGTTACGCTCCGCGGCAACTCGCTCCGCGAGGGGAAACCGTGAACCTCTCCATCCGTTTGCGAGCATCCTATATCGCACGCAGAACCCGCTAAAGCTAACGTAAACAATCACCAACTTTAGCGACGCAAATGGACACGTCTCTCTTGCCTCGATATTCTCCATTTACACCTTTTTCTGAAACAGTTCTGCATACAATTGTCTATAGATTCCGCATCCACGCGTGGAAGAAATATTGGAATAAAAAATTATTCTGATTTTTCTTCACGAATTGACCTACACTGAGAGGAAAGTTTTTGGTATTTGTGATTATAATTACATAATATCACAATTATGATTGATTATTATTGCTATAGTATTAGTATAAATATAATAATTATATTTACAGCTTTATCAAAAAATATATAATTGATATCGAAAGTGACTATAACTTACAATTAAATTATGGTAATTGCAACTATTTTTATAATATATGTATAGTCATTTTCAATGTCAACTATATATATTTTTTTATAGTTATAATTTTATATAAATAAAATTATTATTACTAACATTATAACAGTAATAATTGTGATTACAATGCCATGTAATTATAATCACAAATACTAAAAATTACTTTTCTCTCACAATTAGTGTAGTTTATATAAATTGTATCGTTTACCACGAATCTATTTGAAAATCCTTCCTGTATACATTGAAGGACGGATGTATAAAGAGATTTTATACAGCCTATACTTTATGAGAAATTTTCTCAGGACATACGTTCTCTGAAATGTCTTCAGGATGTCCCTGGGAGATTTGCGATATATGAGATTGTATCTCTTTTAGAGGAAAAAAAAGAAGCCAAATAACAAAAATATAGAATATATAAAAAATGCAGGATAATATAGGATTATGTGAGATATACAAGAATTTGAAATATTTCTGAGAAGTATAAAAATTCAGAGTGTCATGAATTATGTAATTGTTTACATCACCTGTTTACATCACATTAAACTCTTTTTATATCAATATTTAATTCTATCTATGAATGATGTATACATTTTAAAGCTAAATAGGATCGAAAACATTAATTTATTAACAATTAATAATCTGTAAAATAACGGTTTCTCGAGCAACAATAAAATTCGTATGTATGTTCAGAACGGGAAGGAATTGAAAGGTTTTGCGTCATAATTAGTGCGCTTTGAATAGTTAAATCGACCCATTTTTTTATCATCTCGATATGACACTATTTGATTTAAGATTCGACCGTTTTTGGAAACGAGGAGACGGAGATCAAACGCACGTCGCGTCGTATGTTAATTTTTGACCATTCACCAAGGTCGTATACGTCGGATCCGAAAAGAGGTAGACGGTTATTCGAATGGAGTGCGAGTTCGCAACAGTCGATTCGTGGGAATATCTTGATGTCGTCAAGGAGAATGTAAGGTATAATTTTTATACCATTTACGTCATCGAGTCCATTTTGCAGTGGAGTCACATCAAAGACAGGCGATAAGCAGAATACCTAAGAATGTTGCCGATCAAAATAATACAAGCAGCAATCGGATTTTTAATTTTTTAAAAATAGGACAATACGAAATAATAAATGTCATTACGCAACCTAAACATGAAATAATCATGAATATTACATCAAGATGCGCTTGTTATTCTATAGATTCTATATATTACAGATCTCGATCTAAAACGCGTCTGGTTCGTCGAGGTCAGGCAAGAGACAAATCATGCTGCGTAAATTACGCTTACGATTGATCGTTTATGATGGCAATGACAGTGAATATTGAACATCGAACATATTCGACGCTGCAAGGCATGAAGAATAAGTAGAACATGCGAAGATCGATTGTCCGTTACTTTACCGTAACGTCATGCTTACCTGCTGCGGTGCCCAGTATTCTAATATCGGAAACCTAATACGATGCAAAAAGAGCTCCATCCGAGAAGGGAACAATGGATGAGTTAGTAGAGCAGAAACTTTAGAGTTATATTTATTATTATTATTATTATTATATTAATAACTCTATCTCCTTTTTTAATATGAAGTCTTCTCGGCTTCTTTAATATGATTTTATATGCCGATCGACATGAAGATCTTCACGTTATATAATGTATTCGAAATAATTTATTCTTCGCTTCGTGTCGATTTATTTTGTAAGTGTGACAAGTATCTCAAGTTCTCTGATTTCTTCACATCATGTCTCCGATTCTTCTTTTTTTCTAAAGGGTTCCAAGTTCCAATTTCAAAGCGTTCGATATAAGGTATTCGAGAGCGATCTTGAAAGGGAGAAGGTAGGTTTGTCCCTTTCATTTCTTTTCTGTTTATATCTCACCGCTAGGCTGGTTGCGTTAGGTTCCTCGACCTTGCCGGTCATGCAGGTTTCAACTTCCAAGCACCTTCGAGCGTGCTCGCACACGCATTTATATACACCGGATGCATTTGTGTACGAATGGTTGATCGGATCTTACGATTCCTTTTCCTGAACTGACGTGCTATTCGAGAAAATAATTTTGACAAATAAGTCCAATAGAAAGATAGAAAAAAGGCAGAGGGGGAGAGAGAGAGAGAGAACTATATTGTCAAAGTTTTTTAGTAATGTATCGATGTTTTGTTAATTATTTTTCATAATCGTCTATCAATCTGACATAATCAAAATATCTTTGACAATCTTTTTAAAACTGAAAAATAAATAATTAACGAACGATTATATTGAATTATACTTATTGGATAACAAATTATAAATTTCCAAATTTTTATATATTCTGGCTAAACAAATTATGTTACAATCCATACATACAGGATACTTTATCTCAGAGATATTCCTGCGAACGTTCTTGATACTTTGAGATATTCTCAGGATGTTCTTCAGAACGTCCCTTGGACATCTGTGCTATATTGAAATCTTATGATATTAAAAACAAAATATATTTTACATCGGTCTATTTGCAAAAATAAGTTTGAAAATACGGATTATGTACATCAATGAAGCTTGAACAACGCAACAATGGGTTTAAAGTATTCCTGGCTTGCACCTCCCACGTGGTTCTCTGTATGAGACAGTATCTCCCACGGGGCTACATCCTGTGTTATAACTCTGATATTTTGAAAAGTAGCCCAGCTGGTGACATCCTCGAAAATAATTTTCCGGTTATTACAGGTTAAATAAACTGCAATTTAAACAAATTGTACGAACGATTCAAAATAACGTGCTTCCGGTTTGCAATTTAAGTGGAATCGTCCTTAAATCACTAATAAATAATTCACGTTAATTTGTGGCAATGATTTACTGAAATTTATTTATAAACAATATTATGCATTATGTTCTTTTATTGAATGAAAAAACTTCAAGTAATTAAATTAAGTTAATTAAAATTACACTTTAACTTTCTTATAAGTTTTAATACATATATATTTTATATATATTTAAATATGTTTATAAACATATAAAATATATGTTTATAAACATATATTTTAAGAATAAAAAATAAAATATTATTTCAAGTAAATTTTGAGGAAAAAGGTCAGAGGATCCTGAGATAACGGAACTTTGTTAAAAATATTCTCTGAAAAGTATGAATTTTTATCTATTAATAATCCAGACGTTTAAATTTCGAGTTACGGTATACAACAGTTACGGCGCACCAACAGTTTTACGTTTTATGTTTTAGCAAACAGCAAACAGACGAAGGTAAATAACATCTTTGTCTCGGTCTTTTTCAGAACTTCCAAGACACGGAGGCAGAAAAGGCAATAATGGGCTCCATCGTATACTGCATACATCACAAGGACGGTTGCAAATGGTCGGACGAGCTGAGGAAGTTGAAGGTAAAGTCATCGTAAAAGAGTGCTCGGTATTACAGAATAAGAATTGTGTCTCGATGGACCAACTAAATTTAGATGTCGTTCTTATCACAGGCGCACCTGAACACGTGTAAACACGATGCGGTTCCTTGCGGCAATAAATGCGGGGCGATGATACCTCGCGTACTCATGGAGGATCATCTGAAGTATACCTGCGCTCAGCGTAGAGCCCGTTGCGACTTTTGTGCCAAAGAATTTACCGGACACACTTTAGAGGTATATTTATTCAAAATAATAATTATATAATGAAATTATGTCATTATTTTGAATATTTAATAGTTATTTCTTTGCTATTTTACCTCTTTTATTTGATATTTCATTTGTTTAAGCACGCACAAGTCTTATTTCAGTTGTTTGTTTCTGATTTCAAATATATGTAATTTCGATAAATTAATGTTATTAAATAAATTGGACTCTTTTTTTTTTTTTTAATTTGTTACTTCTATTAGACATTTCTTCAAGAATTATTGGTTCCAGAAGGTAATTGTAAAAACACAATATTTGCAGAAACACACGGGGACATGCGGTTACGAGCCTCTTTATTGCGAAAACAAGTGTGGCATGAAGGTGCAAAGGCGACACCTCGGCCAACACAAGCTGGGAGAGTGTGCCAAGAGACTAGTCGCCTGTCGTTACTGTAACAAAGAATTCGTTTTCGATACGCTCGGCGCTCATCACGCGAAATGCGGTCGATTCCCGGTAGCATGTCCTCATCGTTGCGAAACCGCGGTGCTACCCCGAGAGGATCTCGAGGTTCACCTGAAGGATCATTGCACCACGCATCTACTTTCCTGCACGTTCAAGGACGCCGGTTGCCGCTTCAAGGTATTATTTTTTCGCACGTCATAGCTTATGTCCGCTTATAATAAAAAGATAAATAAATTTAAAAATATTGAAACAGGTTTATTTCTACGAAATACAATACTCGATGTTTAGAATGAGAAATTGATACGAAGATTCGAGTCTGCTTTCAGTCTTTTATATATCACATAAATATCTTAACATCACTCTGAAGCATAATTAAATATTTAATAAGAAATAAAAGAATATTTACTTTACATATTTTAATTTTTTCTGTATATGACTTTAAATTTTTCTTCGGAAAAATGTGCGCTTTTCTCTTTTCCGAGAATGAGAAATAAAGAATGAATAATAAAAAATTAATTAATTGATCGATTGATTCAATGAAGTAAATTCAAATTTTTCTAACTTTGGGAATTTAAAATAAAAAGTAAAATCTAATAGGGTGAAAGAGAGTACAGCGCAATTATCAGTACGAAAAACAATAAAAAGTAATAATTTTTCTCTTTTATTCTCAAATTTACGATGTCATCCAAATAAATTGTACTTTTCGATACTTTTCGAGTTCTTCTCAGCTTTGAATTAGAAAATTAGTTAAATCTGCAATTTGTTGGTGCTCAATTTGACATGTAGAGGATGTACACACACTAATTTTGTAATTCAATGCTGAAGACTCCAAAGTGAATCGAAACGTATAATTCATTTGAATGACATCGTAAATTTTGGAACAAGAGTAAAAATATATTATTTTATTATTTTACGTACAAATAACTGCGCTCTCATTCGCCCTGTTGGATTCTACCTTTAATTTTAATATCGACAGTAACGACGTTATAATTGGAGTGACTTGGGAATTTAAAATGTCTATAACTTATTAATTTATTTAAATAAGACTTATTCTCTTTCTCTCTCTCTCTCTCATTTATTATTTTTATTCTAGTCCAAAAAGTATTACAGATTTTTCTGTAACAGGGAAATAGATTCTCGTTAGACAAACATCTGGAGGAATCCGCAAAGATGCATCTAAGTCTCATGTGCAGTTTGGTGACGAAGCAACAACATCAAATTACCAGCTTGAAATCAGCGATTAGCAAGCTATCGTTAAATTACACGGGCACGCTTATATGGAAAATTACGGATTATGCTGCCAAGATGTCGGAAGCAAAAGCGAAGGAAGGGATGGAGCTTATCAGTCCACCTTTTTATACTAGTCAATACGGATACAAGTTACAGGTACGTTACGTATATATGTAAATATATAAATAGTCAATTTTCGGCTCGATTTGCGTTTTGATGTTTATTCTCATGTTGCTGCGTCTTAAAAGCGTAATAAAAATTGTACGCTATTCTGCTTCAAGATAATCCTACACGGTCAATAATACTGATCAGTAATACTGATAGTATGCATTAATATTTTTAGTATTTTTACAACTTTACACGATCAATATTATTGACAATATGTTTCACTTTAATTTTACGTACATTATTTATTGTGACATACTGTGACATAAATTCTAATAAAGTGATACCGATGCACGAAAATATAAATCCAGTTTTTCATCAGTATTCTACGTCAATCTATTAACCTGTACACACGATCAGTAATATTGCCAGTATTTGTTAATACTGACAGTATTATTTACTGTGTAGGAGTCACCTTCAGAGTTGTGATGTCATAGTTATAATTCTATATAATACATATATGTAATAATATGCACGAGTTCCTTGTAAATTTATATCATTGCAATTAATGAGACAAAGCCTTAAATGAAATATTAAAAGAGAACTATTATAAACAAGTTTATTATTATACAAGATTTATATAATTAAAAATGTAGTCACTCAATTTCATATATTATATTTTTTAGAGTTATTAAATAAATAAATAAGTATACAGAATAGAATTTCGTTTCCTTAAGATTGAATATCTTGCGGATTTTCTGTGTCGGATATTTTTTAAATGTATTTATGTTGTCTGGTTAATTGGCATTAAAAGATTAAATGTTAAGTTAATTCGCTAAAAAGATTTTTTTATTTTACAGGCTTCCATCTTCTTAAACGGAAACGGGACCGGAGAAGGCAGTCATATATCGATATACATAAAAATCCTACCTGGCGAGTATGATGCGCTTTTGCGATGGCCGTTCTCGCACAGCGTGTCGTTCACGATGTTCGATCAGACAGTTATCGCGGAAAAGGCTTGCAACATCGTGGAAAGCTTCATACCAGATCCGACATGGAAGAACTTTCAACGGCCGAGTCGTGAACCAGACTCT